TCACCAATATCGCAGTCGAAAACGACGTCGAGCCTGGTGAATTCCCAGAAGCCTGATTTAAATAAGTATCCCAACCCAGAAAACTCTGATGAAAATTAATTGAAAAAAAAGGAGGAAAAAAGAGAGTAGGGAAGGAAATAAAATATTTTATAATTTTGAATTGATTTGACGATTATATTCTTAGATTTAACAGTTTTCGCAAACGTTAAAGACATTTTGTGATAAAAAAACCTAATCTTTATAATAAAGAAAGATGTTGGCATATGGTTGGGCTTATGATGGCCTTTTTTTTATCTTCCTAATTATTGGCTCTCCTATCCAACAAAACAAAAATTATAAGTTCTCCTATATATTCGCTATATTGTTAATAATTAATAATTTAACAGATTATGCAAACAACCCTAACTTATGCCGAACTAACATTTAGTTTAGTGATATTTACCTTAACTTTAAGGTCTCAAACTTGACTCGCATAAATACTCATGACGATTTATACTGTTGATCAATTTAATAATTTGGTTTTTTTTTAAATTACAAAAGACGATAATATTTTTTTGATAAGTGCAACAAAACAAATACAAATAAGAGAAGTTAAAACTAAGATTAAAGAAGGGGTGTGTTTATAAAATAAAATAAAAATACAATGTGGTCAAAAATTTGTAGGGGGCGATGACGATGAGCATATTTTGAGAGGACTCTTCAACTACGCAACGTGGCGATATCTTATGTGACGCGGCTCTAGTCCAGCATGCCACACAGCAGCAGCCAAAGAGGTTTTATTTATGTTGGTCAAATCCTAAATTCATTATTATGTCCGCGGGTGGGATGAAATAATTTGATGAACAAGCACCACATTCGGGTCAAGACTCAAGAATGAGAACAATAAGCAGATTTTTTTATAACTATTTTATTATAAAAAGCAGAAGAAACTGACCTTCACCACACCACACCGTCGCCAGTGCCACATAATTATTAAGAGGAGGAATACTAGAATCGTGTTTGTGTAGCTGAAATATGTACAAAAACAAAAGAAGAAAAAAGAAATTAAAGATTTGTAACTCAAGTGATTAGAAGCATTTTCGATCATCCGCTTTTATCCTAAAAATTAAAAAAGAATTGATTTGCCAAAAGAAAGAAGAGGATTGACAGATAGATAACATAAAATAAAAGATCTGTTTTACTCGGATATTCTTTCGACCATTATAATTTTTACAATAAATCCCAGCTAGCACGCAAAGGGTGGGAAGAAAATCCCATAAACTTTGGCGTCGACCACACGAGCCAAAATCATGGGCCTAAATTGCAACATAATACGCGGAGAAACGAGGAAAATAAAAAAAGAGACAATCTAGGCCTAGGCCTAACCATCCACGTTTTCTTCCATTTCCTTTCCTGAGGTCTAAACCCAAAGAAAAAGGCATGGAAATTACCTAAAGCTAGAGCTAGGCGTTAACATAAGCACTGAGAGCATCACCAGTGAGCCTGCAAATCCTCCACTCCGGCAACATCTTAGCTCCCATTTCCTCATAAAACCTGATGGCATTCACATTCCAGTCAAACACACAAGCCAATCCAAATTTCCCATAAACCATCTTCACAGCCTGCTTAGCCACAGATGAAAGCAGCATCTTCCCAAGCCCTTTCCTCCTATAGCACTGCCTCACAAACAGGTCCTCTATGTAAAACCCAGGATTCGCCAGTTCCGCAGAGGGTAGGAAGAAATATCCCATAGACGTCTTTGACGTCGGCAACACGAGCCAAAATAATAAAAAGGGCAAAAAAAGGGAGGGGGCGGTGGGAGAAAGTTTCTCTTTTCTTTCCCGTGACCGAAGTTTGGGCCCGTCTTCTTCTCTATTTTCCCTTTTTCTGGAATGAAGTTTGGGTCTTTTCACTTACTTTGATCCTCACGAAAGAAGAAGAGAATTCTCAAGAACGTTCTAGCTACTAATAAAGGAATATTAGAAGTCCAAATATGAGAATTTTCATTTATGGCTCGATTTATGGCAAAAAGGCAAAATCAACACACACACAAACCACACAGAAACGAAAGAGCAAAGCAATTAAAAAACACAGTAGAACAAATCAAACAACAATGACATACAGCAGAAGATTTCAGAGATGTAAAAGGTGTAGCTGTGACATTGCTAGGACTAGGAGAAACAACAAGGGTTCTACAAGACTGCCTCCTCAGTCATAATCTTCCTAGCCCACACACACATTTCCATCTCAAAACAAACAGACAAGAAGAAGAAAGAAAATACACAAGAAGGAACAATCTAAGGCGGGCTAGCCTTCAACATTCTCTTCCATTTCATTTGATTTCCTGAATTCTAAATCCAACGAAAAAGGTATGGAAATTACCTAATCTAGAGCTAGAGCTGGGCATTAACATAAGCATTGAGAGCATCACCAGTGAGCCTGCAAATCCTCCACTCCTGCAAGATCTTAGCACCCATTTCCTCATAAAACCTGATAGCATTCACGTTCCAGTCAAGCACAACCCACTCCACTCTCCCATACCCCATCTTCACAGCCTGCTTAGCCACAGCTGAAAGGAGCATCTTCCCAAGCCCTTTCCTCCTGTAGCACTCCCTCACAAACAGGTCCTCTATGTAAAACCCAGGCTTCGCCAGAAAAGTCGAGTAGTTTGGGAAAAACAACACGAACCCAGCAACGCAGGCATCGCCGCCAAGAACCCCACCGTTGGATCTGAACAAATCGCGGTCTGGGTCGTTAATCGGAAGGTCCAGATTGACGACTTTGGTGACGGGCGGGTAGGCTGCGTTGTTGTACTGAAGGTGTTCGACGAAAGGCGCGTGCGAGACTTCGAGGACGAAGATGGTGAAGGACTGGAAGGGTGGGGAGGTGAAGAGGGTCGAGGAAAGAGAGGCCTCGGTGGCGATGCACTGGTCGGAGAGGCGTTCGAAGACGGCCATCTGGTGGATGAGCTTGTGGATGTGGGGGACGTCGGTGGGGTGGGCTAAGCGGATTCTGGCGAAGAGTGGGTGGCCCCTTGGGGTCGAGCCTTGGGGCACGTCGTTGGGTGCCTCTGGGGCTGGGCTCGGTGGTGGTGGCGGTGCGGCGGCGGCCATTGTTGGGTTTTGGGTTACGCTTGCGGTTTTCAGATAAAGTTGATTGCGGTTTTCAGAGAGCTTGGGAAAATCGTACTGGTGATGAGTAGTGAGGACTGAGGAGAAGTGGGAACGGTTATTATAATGGAGTTCGTTGTGCGCAGGATTTCAATCCTGCCCGCTAAACGGATCCAACGATTTTGCGCCCGCCACGTTAGAACAAATTCGTGTCTTTTAAGATAAGCATCCGAGAGATAAGGAGAAACTTTGCATAAATGAGATTCATTTTCCTTATGTGGAATCATCACCACCTGAATTAGAACATTCAATTGGGAATTTTATGTATTTCCATTCATCTTTTACGTTAATTTTGAAAAAAGCCGAAGGAGAAAGAAATATTTTTAAAAGAAGCTAAAATAGACAGAAATGTCCTTATTTATTTTTGAATTTCTTAGGAAATCCTTTACATTTCCATGTCTTTGGTTTGTAAGTTGGTGGGTTTTTCTGTCTTTTTTAAAAAAAATTTGGCTTTTTTCAAAAGTGAAAGTTTTTGTGTAGCTAAAACCTAAATTTACTTAAATGAATTTACTCATTACGATTAAAATAGTTTGGTTTAGATGACACTTTAATTATATCTCACGATTACAATACATGAGAAATCTACTTCAAATTTGAACAACAATCTAATCTTCATCATCGGATTCAATTCAGTCTAATGGCAAATTTGAACAGCCCTTGCTTCTCTTTGCCTTTTACAATGACAAACAAATTTTATCTCACGTTGAAATAACAGTTGATCTTGAAATTTTATGTTCCGGTGTTCTCGAGAGGTAGAATCAAAGTTTGCTTCATTATCCACCAATTTCGTGAGTCTTTTTCTAAAAGAGAAAGGGTAAAAGGGAAGTAGGAGTAGACTTTGTTTTCTTTTATTTAATATTTGTTTAGAAGTCTAAGCACAGATTCTTGCATCTATATATATTATAATAAGAGAACTTTTTGCCAACCTCAACAAAAACTATCAAATATAGATTAATTATATTAAGAGGTGAATAAATTCAACATTTATGAGTAGTATTACTATTATATCTGCTCAAATAAGACTTTGTATTTATTTTATCGTAACCAATTCATTGATTCCACGTATCTGTTTGGGCTATCCAGCACAAAGGTTTTTTTCTTAATCCTTCGGCCTTGGGCCACAACATCATGCTTGAGCCGTATCAGCATCAGGGGCCGCTACACAAATTCAAGCCAATTTATTTTCCCAAATATTAACACAACAACCTAAACAAAACAAAAAACATGTCTATGAGAGATAGAATGAGAAACCAATTCCTTTTGGGAGTGACTTATTTACTTTGCACATGAAAAATACTACACATATTCATCAATTCACTTGACGTCTCTCACTTTGTGTTCTTCAAAATTCATTGACTAATTGCATATGTAAAAATATACGTCATACAATAATCAAAAATGAAAAGTGAATAACAACATTTTTGAAGAAGTTATGCATAGCATGCATCTCAACATAGACATATCTCAACTTTTTTTTTTTAACATAAATGACCAGATTCATCGACTCTTAGGACAATCCACATATAAATGAATCAAACAAGAAGGAAGAGTTGGAGATGTTGCTCTTCTTTAAGTAAACAAATCGAGGAAATTGTTGTTGGCAATTTGAAAAAAATAATAAAAAATTACAGATAAAAAGTTTAATGATGATTGTTTATATAATAAAAGTGATAATTAAAAAGAAAAGAAAAGGAATATTCGAACACAAAATATAATGTGTTGATAACTAAATTTCTTAATTACTTGAATTACAAGTCTCTTGTTCGAGTGCATAATAATTTTTGTTTTGCGTGACAATAACAGCTGCAAAAGTAATTTTATTTTAAAAACTTGGAAAATAAAAAGTAGAAAATGGTAACGGTAAAATGTGGATGTGAGTGGTAATTTAGCGGATGGGATGTAAATAGAATTGAGAATCGTCACTTTCCAAATGCCAAATTAAGACACGGCAATGGCAAATTCTACTCTATATTACCAAAATTAGAAAATTAGACCACTGGAAAAAGCCAACTCACACTCGAGCCTCCCGAGCCGGTGTGGCGCTCTCACCCTCCAAAATCCAAAATCCTCGACTCAAATTTCCAAAATTCTGAAAATTTTCAAATTCCCTCTCTTTTGATTTCAACTCTCAATCTGATGTAAATCTCCATGAGCCAAGCCAGCCGAATCTCCCAAGCTCAGCTTTAGTACTGTTGTGTTGAGCTCGGCCGCTAGGCGTCGTCGCCGCCGTTAAAGCCGCTCTCGCTCCAAGACTGGGAGTCATTAATTGACGACTTCCAGCACGGCGGCGCACGGCAACACAAATGGACCTCCGCGCACCCAATCCGCCTCTCCCTCCTCGACCAAGCCCTCTCCTCTCTCGCCAGGCGCGACTTTCCCCTCAAGCTCCACGTCATCACCTTCCTCGAAGAGTTCTGCGACCCGCTCTTCACCACCGCCAGCTCCGGAACCGACATCGTTTCGTTGCGCAAAGTCCTCCACCGTCTGATCGAAACCCTACGCGCCCTGATCCAGACCCCGCCCGATGGGGTCCACATCACCTTCGCGCTCAAGGAGCAAATGATGCTCTCCGTCACCTCCATCGTCGTCTCCCTCGACGACGATGACGGCGGCGTCCCAATCGCCATCGTCGAGGGCTTGGTGGAGCTACTGTTAACGGTGATCAACCGTCCCAATCACGGCATCGACCGTCAGGCGCGTGCGCTCGCGTGTGAGTGCCTGCGCGAGTTGGAGAAATCTCGCCCCTGCTTGCTTTCCGAAATCGGCGGACATCTATGGAGTCTCTCCCAGAACGAGAGAACTCACGCTGCGCAGAGCTACATTCTCTTGTTCACCACCGTCGTTCACAACATCATCGTTAGAAATCTCGGCGTTTCGATTCTCAATACGACGGTGCCTCTCGTGCCGTTTAGTGCTCCGCAGAATGGGACGGGTCCGGGCGGGTTGAATCACAAGGAGCTGAGGAGAGCGATGGCGTTTTTGCTAGAGTGGCCGCACGTGTTGACGCCGTGTGCGATGGTTGAGTTCTTGGCTTTGATAATGCCAATCGCGGCGGCATTGGATCTCCAAGCCTCCATGCTTAAGGTGCAATTTTTTGGGATGGTTTATTCGTCCGATCCTATGCTCGCCCACGTCGTTTTGACCATGTACCCGAGGTTCTGGGACGCGTTTGATGGGCAAGAAGGTGACATTGTGAGCAGGCTTGTGTTACTATCCAGAGAATCGCAGCACCACTTGGTTTTTCGATTGCTGGCAGTGCATTGGTTGTTGGGTTTTGGTCAGTTGGTGTTGAAAAGGGAGGCTAAGAAAGTGAATACCATTGTTGATATGGGTTCGAGATTCTATCCGAGTGTGTTCGACCCGCTTGCTTTGAAAGCGATGAAGCTTGACCTTCTTGCCTTTTGCTCGGTTTGTGCTGATGTCTTGAAATCGGAAACTGTTTCGGTTGAGAATGGTGGGGTGGAGGATAAGTTGGTGGTGAAGCTGTTCGAAGATGGACTTGTTTGTGTATCAGCATTCAAATGGTTACCTCCGGGGAGCACTGAGACTGCAGTGGCATTTCGAACTTTGCATAGGTTCTTGATTGGGGCATCATCTCATTCAGACAATGATCCTTCCACCACTAGAAGTCTGATGGACTCCACCACTTTCAGTACCATACAGGTAGTTTTCCCTCTTCCTCAGTTTCCTTGCATATGTTCTACTGTAATAAAAAGACATTTATGTGAAAATTGCTATTTATAGTTGAAGATGTTTGTTGGTTTTGGATACATTAGCTCTCCCCTGAGCTTTGAGTTTGAATTGGAATGAATTAAAATCTCAGAAGAATCAATCTTGCTCCTTTGTTCTGCTTATGGATTAGTTGATGTGTTTGGATTCGTCTCAGTGCTTGTATGTGCATATATTGTTTATGAGGAATACAAGGTGGACCAAATTATTGATATAAGCTGATGTAATAGTGTTTTATGTTTAGCAACTAAGAAATTGCCAGGTCATCTACCACAGTAGTTGATGTCTAAAATTTTGGAGAACTGTTGATGCTTCTAATAGTATTGATTGTTTATATATTGACTTTAGTTGCACGGACATTTCTAAATCTCAACTGTGCAATTGCTTTAGTGATCTTTATTTCAGAGGAGAAGTGGGAAAGGTGGGTTCACCTTTATATCTGTGCCATTTTTAATGTCTCCAAATTTCTGTTTCCAGGGGATGCTGGTGGACCTGATGTTGGAGTGTCGGAGATTGGTTCCAGTGGTAGTTGCTTTGACTGATCGCTTGTTGGGTTGTCAAAAGCACCGTTGGTTGGGAGAGCGCCTGCTTCAGACATTTGATCAGCATTTGCTTCCAAAAGTGAAATTGGATTACAACTTGGTTTCCTTCTTTCCAATATTTGATAGAATTGCCGAAAGTGATACAATTCCTCCTCGAGGATTGCTAGAGCTTCTTATTAAGTTCATGGCCTTCCTTGTTGGTAAACATGGCCCATACACAGGACTGAGATCATGGTCTCAGGGAAGCAGAGTTCTTGGCATCTGTCGAACCTTGCTGATGCATCACAATAGCTCTCGATTGTTCCTTAGACTATCTCGCCTTTTGGCATTTACTTGCCTTTACTTTCCTGATTTGGAGGTTCGTGACAATGCAAGGTATGATTAAGAAACTTGCTTCTGCTCTTCTTTCGTTTTTTCCTTTCAGATCTTACCTTTTTGTTTGTATGGGCACAATATACAATTTTCATAATATTGTCAATACCCACTATTAGCTGATGTTCATTCATCATGGCCTTTTGCAGGATCTACCTTCGAATTTTGATCTGCGTGCCGGGAAAGAAGCTCAGGGACATGCTGAATCTTGGGGAACAACTCGGTATTTCACCATCTTCACATTCCAGTTTCAATGTCCAGGCTCCTCGCTTTTCTCAGAGTCTCAAGAAATCTAGGAATATCTCCTCATATGTCCATTTTGAGCGAGTAATCCCCCTACTAGTCAAACAGTCTTGGTCCTTGTCTTTATCATCTTTGGGTGTTGGAAGTACTGAACCTGGTTACCTTGAAGGCATCAGGGACATTGAACCCATAATAGAGGATAGTGAGATTGGTGACAGTAGTAATGCTGAGGACAGTAGTAATGTCCAAATTATTGAAGAAGCTCCTATAATTGATCGACCACAGGAGCCATTGCGTGTGACGGATTCAAAGATTTCAGAGATATTAGGAACATTGAGGAGGCATTTTTCATGCATTCCTGATTTTAGACATATGCCAGGACTTAAGGTTAGACTATCTTGTAGTTTGAGGTTTGAATCTGAACCTTTCAGTCGAATATGGGGAGTTGATTCCCCTGCTGGTGTTTCAGATGAATTAGATGCCCTTCCTGCTTTATATGCAACCGTGCTAAAGTTTTCATCCTCTGCACCATATGGGCCTATTGCATCCTATCATATACCTTTTCTTCTTGGTGAGCCTCCCAGAAAAACTAATGTATCTGGTCAGACAGCCTCATTAGCTATTGTTCCTGTAGAAAATGGATCTGGAGAAGAGGAAAGCTTTAGAGCTCCAGTAGCAATTGAATTGGAACCACGAGAACCAACACCTGGTCTAATTGATGTTTCCATTGAAACAAATGCAGAAAATGGTCAGATAATCAGTGGTCAGCTTCACAGTATCACCGTAGGCATAGAGGATATGTTTCTCAAGTCTATTGTACCGCCTGACATCCAGGAAGATGCCACACCTGTTTATTACTTAGACTTGTTCACTGCTCTTTGGGAGGCATGTGGTACTGCCAACACTGCACGGGAGACCTTTCAATTGAAAGGAGGCAAAGGGGTTACAGCAATCAGTGGTACGCGATCAGTCAAGCTACTTGAAGTCCCTGCATCATCTTTGATTCAGGCTACTGAGCGCTACTTGGCACCCTTTGTGGTGAGTGTGATTGGTGAACCACTCGTTAATATTGTAAAGGATGCAGGAATCATTAGGAACGTCATCTGGAAGGATGCAGCCTCAGATTCTTCCCTTGATATTACTAGCTCAGGGACTGATTTTGATAGAGGCCCTCCTCATCTTACGTACACCGACGATGAAGATGAAAGGGACAGTCCTGTCAATATCCGTAAAAGAAACATGGGTTGCTTTCTTATTTTGATATTTCTTCCACCAAGGTTCCATCTCCTCTTCCAAATGGAAGTGTCCGATGTTTCAACGTTAGTCCGAATTCGAACTGACCACTGGCCGTGCTTAGCTTATACTGATGATTATTTGGAAGCTTTATTTTTGGCATAGGAATTTATTCATTTTTACCTTGCAAGTACTTTACATCAGGATTATCATCGGTGCTGCTATGAAGGTCATCAGCATTTTGTTCTATAATTTTTCTCCCCATATTTGTTCGTACAGAGAAGGGTAATTTTTTTGCACCCAGAATAAACTCTACTGTAAATATCTCTCGAGTTCTTTTACCTTGTATTCTTTTGTTGTATCAGGGATTAAGAAATGCATTTTTGGGGCGTTTTACATTCTCTGTAGGTTGGATTTGTAACCACAAGATTGTAATAATTTGTAAGCTGATTCATCCTTTGCAATCAATACAAGCTTATTTTGATGATTATATTTGGAGTTTGGAATGGAGAGGTAAATGGCTTAATAGGTTGCATATCTACTAGTTTGGAACATCAATACTCCAGTAAAACAACAAAGATATACAGTAGTCGGTGATCTTGTACCGATGTTCTATGAAACTCGAATATAAAGATAAAATGCAGATGTGATGTTCCATGAAACTGTTGTTACATACGTAAGTTAGGCTAGTTGACTAAGATCGTGTCCTTTGCACGCGTGTTCCATACAGAGTAGTTTAGAATGTCATTTTGTAAAAATGAAAAAGCATGTAAATATAAACTGTACTAGCAATGAAATTAGAAGCCCGACAAAATAACCCTTCGTTATTTGAAAGCAAATCCTCCTGTACCATGTATGTATGCATAAAAAAGAAGAAAATGGTTGAGATTAGTGTCAAAAAATGAAAGAACATGGAGACATCAAGGACATTGGAACATGGAGACAACAAGGACATTGGCATCATGGCACCGTGGTTTCAAAACCAAACCAATCAAAATGGGCTAAATAGACAGAAAACTATCGGTGCATTCAAATAATTGGTGAGTGAATTGCAGCTACAAAAAAGTAAATTCGTACTGATCTACACCTAACCAGACTATCCAAGATTACATGAGATTCTAACCAAAAACGAAAAAAGAAGATTACACGAGATCCTGTAGGCCTCTTTGGCCCCAGAAACCACTTTTGCTTATACCCATCATATGTTACACAAGTAACCTGAACAAAACAACGAATCTTCAGGCAGGTTAGCTCACATAATGCCCTGTTTTCCGTCTGTGACGGCTAAAATCTGATACAAACCTGAAGGAGAGGCCACAGCCCTCAACCTTGCACTGGTACGGTCGCTCTCCAGTGTGGACTCGTATATGTTCAGTCCGTGCCCATGCCCACTTGAACGACATGGAGCAACCTTTCCACGGGCACTTGAGGGGCCTATCATCATCATGCACACGGCTGTGTATCATTGCATAATTGTGGGAGCTAAATCTCTTACCACACCCTTCATGTGGGCAGCGGTTACGCTTGTGCAACACTAGCTCTGCCTTTGTTCCGAAACTCATGCGGCAGCCTTCTAGGTCGCACCTGTGAGACTTCTTTTCTTGTTCTTTCTTATACTTGGGATTGGGAGGATCTGAAGGTTTCTTCACCTTCTTTGTCACTGGCTTCTCCTCCACCTCTTTGTGGAGGTTGTCTATCCCGCTTCTACTCATTGCATCCTTCCCAGCCCTTGGTCTCAATCCTTCACATGGGCCTTTAATAAATCCATTGAAATTGAAATTGTCATCTTTTATTTGCTCCACTTCTCTCTTTCTTTTTCTTCCCATTTCAGGAATTGGTGCAGGGTCTGCAATGGAAGACCCAATGCTTTCCAACTCTTTATCAAGTGGTGATAAGCAAACTTCACTGGAGTTGCGTAAGCCTTGAGCAGCACGAGGCTCTCTTTTAATTCTAGAATATGTTTGGATTGAAGCAGGTAACGGCTGGCATCTGGCAATATCTTGACTATAAATGAGTTCCTCACTACTATTTGTAGTCCGTTTTTTTCTCTGTTCTTTATTATCCAAAGCCACAAAACCATTGATGTTATCTGTAGCACAGGTCACTCTCAGAACCTCAAATTCTTCAACTGAACCAGGTGTTGGCTGATTTTCTGTTTCTATGACAAGACCAAGTATAGGTTCCTTCATAGGTCCATTTGTAGTCTGTACTTCTTGCTGAACTGTGTCTGAAGTCACACCGTTGTCTGGGCCTTCCTCAGAAGAGCAACCCCTTGGGACTTGAGAAGATTCTTCCATTGAGATACACTGTTGAGTTATTTCCATTTGTGTCACTGAGGTGGAGACATGTTCCCCCTCACTTCTATCTGCAGTCCGGAATTCTTCACTACATGAAATCAGACCAGGGAAAGAATCTTCTGCAGCACAGAGCTCTCTAGGAACTCCTGAAGTTCCTTCAATTGAAGCAGGAGAGGGCTCATTTATTTGTCTGTTAGGACTTAAACTGGGTTCCTCATTTCTTCCTTTCAGACTCTTAATTTCTTCTTGCAGTTTGAATTCTAAAGATACATCCTTGCTAAACTCATCTGCAATGTGGGTCTCTCTTGGACATCCCTCGTAGTCCTCAGCCGCAGCGAAAGTAGGATCCTGCAACAGATGGGAACTACATGAAACTGGTGCCTTGTCGTTTCTTTTGTTGGTAGTTTGGTTTTCTGGCTGCACTTCATCACCCAAAGTCATGGAATCACAAATTTCACTGTTCATACAAGATATCTCCATTACTGTATTCACCATTTGTGCCTCAAACTTGTTCTCACTGGCTTCTTCAGGGATCGCGATCTCATCTTGCATATCAGAAACCTCAGACTTGTTCTCACTGGCTTCTTCAGGGATCGCGATCTCATCTTGCATATCAGAAACCTCAGACTTGTTCTCACTGGCTTCTTCAGGGATCGCGATCTCATCTTGCATATCAGAAACCTCAGACTTGTTCTCACTGGCTTCTTCAGGGATCGCGATCTCATCTTGCATATCAGAAACCTCAGACTTGTTCTCACTGGCTTCTTCAGGGATCGCGATCTCATCTTGCATATCAGAACTATCTCTTGATACTAAACCACAACCTTCACCGTACATATTTCTTCCTTCCGAACTGTGATTCTCAACCTGTGCCTCAACGCCTTCAGCTATTAATGTAGCAGTCGCAAGTTTAGCTGCAACTTGGGAAGAAGTAGAGTACAAACTGATATCCTTGGTTGATTCTAGCATCTGAACAACAGGATATGTTTCAGACATTCTATTTGACTTGGAGGAATAAAATCTTGCACAACTGCTCGTGGAATTCCCAATGTCACGAAGGTTACTTTCTGATGCCATTCTACTGTGTTTATCACCCTCTCCACAAGTAGCAGGGTACCCACAGATCCTACCTGCTCCTGTTGAATCACCTGCTTTTAGCTTATAGTTCCTTCTTGAATATTGAATTATTTTTTCATCCCTCTTAAAAGAGGTGTCATCTGACTTTCTCTCCACCACTTCATCCTTTTTCTCAATGCTCCCACATGGTCTACAATGTGCTGGATGATTAAGCTTTTTAGATCGAGATCTTTTGGATTGCCATTTGACCCTCTGAAAATCTGAGCTCGGGCTCTGTTTGGAGAACAATCCACCCAATGTCAATGCATGCTGGACTTGCTTTGAGGATGAATTCTTTCTGACCTTGACACAGTACCTTAAGTTGATACCCAACTTTGAGGTCCAGTCTTCTCTACATTCATCATGTTCATCATCGACTGCAAGATCTATCAAATTCAGATCTTCCTTCGATGCAATATCCAATGGAACCTCAGTATAATTAAAAGAGAAACCTATTTCCTCTGCAATTGCAGCAGAGGGAGCCTTTATTTTCTGATAGTCTGCAGAAATCCAAATAAATAAAGAATCAACTACCCACAAGTAAAACAATTTTGCAAAATGAGAGAGAATATCAAGTAATTGTGTTTTCCAGATTACCAGAATGGCAAATTACAAGCACGTTCGCTCCACCTTTACTCTGCAACAACTCCACGATTTCAACAGCATGCTCAAGGCAGAAACTCCGCGGTCTCAGAAATTTATTAACAGTATTCCAATCCTTATTAAGCTTGGTTGTGGAAGGTATTAGGGGATCCTTTGCAGGTGACATGACATTGGGAACAGGAGACGGATCCTCTGCAGAACAAAGAAAAGAAAAGATTTGAACATTTGCTTTCGTGAAAAACACCTGGAAACAATGTAGTCTATACAATAAAGAAAATATTGACCCTATTTATGTGACAATACACTACGGAGAACAATTAATACATTCAGGTGTCTGAAAGCAAGCAGATTCAAGGTCCTATGTCAGAAACAGAAGAAGAAACCATAAACGAGTGCATAGGAAGATCTCAAAAATTAGCTGCAGATGCTTCACAACTGAAAGTGTGAAGGCAGTTCCGTTTCTGTGTACCACAATACTTTGTCAAAATCTATACAGCTGGCCAACAGAAAATAACAGCACTAGACTTCCAAAAGACCTGAAACTGTACCAACTATATAGGAAAATATCTATTTTTAAGGGCTCTGGAGATAATTTTGCCACTCCCTGATAATCAAATGATAAGAACTAATTTTGAGGGATCTGAAATTATATTTTACTTCCTAAACATATAATCAACCAATAAGAAGCACTAACCAGGATGGTGAAATCTAAAGTTTCAACTATTGGCTGGTAAAAACACAACAGGTTAAAAGGAAATATCATTTCTTCCCATTTAGACAGTACATGGTCACATACTTATAAGATAAGCCTTACCGTTGACCAAGTATGACTTCTCCTTTTTTTCTTTTTTCTTTTAGCTAAATGAATAGATAATGGAAGTTATTTGAGAAGGCCAAAAATACGAGGCAAGGGAAGAGATGCGGATCCATATTCCAATACCTGTAACACAGCCCTTGACAAATGCTTGATGGCCTGTAGACAAATGAGATTTCTCAAGTCCTGAAACTCCAGGGAATTCTTGAGCCAAAAAATATTCAGGCTGAAGTTTCATTGATGCTTTCTCAGATGGTTGCACTACTGACATAAATGGAAACCCAAGTATTCCACAAGCCACACATGCCAATGTCCCTGAGTCGACTTGAAAGTCACATGACAGATCATCACTACCCAAATATAAATCATTCATATTTTCCGTATACAAACTCATCTCATCAAACAGTAAGTTCTGATCATTATTATTATTTCCACACTGAATATGGGTAGCATTTTCTTTTGGCTTCATATCAACAGGAGCACCTGCAATGGGTGTTAGGGGCTCTTTACTTGTATATGGAAGTAAATCTGGGTTCCATAATACTGCGTGGTAACTTGATTCTTTCTGAAGAAGGACGGATAAAACGTTATTTTCCTTTAACATATCTTCAACAAAAGCCTTCTTTACCGATAACTCCCTTTCTTCCTTTTGCCGATCTCTCATACGCGAACCCCGCACACCTGGTAGTAGGGACCTTGGCACTCTAGCATAATAACAAAAATGCAAAGCCAAAACAAGAGAAACAATGTCTATCAGGTGCCCCACTTGACAACTTTATCAAGACAACAAGCAAAGTCATAATGCAGTTCTATCATCTATCTAACTAAGGCGTAGAAGAGCAAATGCAAAAGAACAACTTTATCACAATCATGATTAACTGAATCATCAACGAACAAGTTCCAGAAGCAGCATGTACAACCATACTGAGACTATCTTTCGCTCAAAATAATCCAAATAAGATGGTTGGCTGACCTTGAAACAAAAGACATGGTCAAGAGGTATAGCAGCTGTTGATGGGAGAGCATAGGAAGATAATTCATAGCAGCTCTACGTACTGCAGCTTCTTTAGCTACTTCAAGCCAGTGTGGTGTTCCAAAGTTGGCAGCTTCCCCACAGTTAAAACCTTATATTCCAAATAGGTAATAAAATATGTTTAAATAGAATAAAGAGAAACTTTATGAAAAAGTATGACTTGCAAATGAAAATGGGAAACATCATGTCGCATGTTACAAAGGATCACAATGTCAGTAACAAATGAATATAAAAATTACTAATGCAATTGTCAGAAATAATGTAAGTTTGTCATAACATTGCCATATCAGCAAGAGTCAGAACAGAGTTCAGGCCAAAATGTTACAATTATCATATCCTCCTCCAAAATTAAGTACTACGTGCAAAAATATAAAACAATTACCGTGGCTGAATCCTACATGGTAAGCCCTTGGAAAAGTCACAACAAACTCACCAGGATTCTGTATTAACCTAAAGAAGAAACCAGAATGGACATAAGTAGAACCCAATAAAGACTCCGCTTCACGGATCAAAGCCAAAATATTTAACATGTAAAAGAAATCCATAAACTAAATTAACATCATAAAGGACCACAGAAGTAACAAGAACGAGAAAAGAAAAACCCACCTGCAACAAGGAATTCCCAATGCAACAACAACCTCAGGTGAAATTAAAGTTGTTTTATTACCCAGTAATGAGAGAGCAGCTGGCAATAAGAGAAACTGGACCTGAGTTAGAAAAAGGCTATAGAAGTAATAACACTCAATAAATTTCAGAATGGAATGGGCAATCCTATAAGAACAGAACAGATAAAAAAATTGAATTAAAATTTGTTTGGAGATGCTATATTTTGGACTTCCAATCTGCTTAAATTGTAAGCTTTTATGAAACAACCAATGAACCAGCCATGAAGAGTTTCACATACCTAGGCGGTCAACATTACCACCAAATGCCTCAGTGCGAATAAGTTCCTCAAAATCAAATGCATAATCTCCTGGAACAGCATACCAAGTCTTTGAAGATCCCGTGTGAAGAAAATTCATGCTGTGAAGCTCATGATCTTCAACGTGCCAAGCAAACCAACTGAACAACATTCCAATGTAAACCATAGGAGAAGTAACACCCGGGATATCATCAGGCATGAAACGAGTAAGTGAACCAGGTGAGCGTGCAATTACTTGTAAGTTCCAAGGACTGTTTGAAAGCCTCCAACCAGCAGTACCTTCTGTATCACAACATGCATTTGGATTTTTTCGCCTAGAAGATTGGGAGGTTTCTTCTGCTGACAAGATTTCTGGAGCAGTAGATGATTTGGATACCTCTAAACATGTATCTGAAACATTCTTAGGAGAAGCATTTTTAACTTCAATACTATGAGAGTCTCTTTCACTACTGCTAATCAGGTCACTTCTCTTACTGTCAGAGTTTTCTCTACTTCTATGGTAAGAATTCCTCTTCCTCCTCCGCCTATTAGTATAACGGAATTGACCAACCGGTTCTTCAAAAGCAGACCCAGGCACATCATTTGCATACTCCACATATATAGGCTTCTCAGAAGCTGCCTTCCAAAACATTTCCTCTATAAGCAATGGAGAGACCTCCTTAATTGTACCTAAAATGCTCCTTGCAAAAGCCCGAGACTTAGATTCAAACTGCTCCAAAGTATAAATTTCCCCACTTTGCCACACTTGCTTATGAACACCTGATGGCGGATTCTGAACTGCTGCCCCTTTCACTCTTTTCACACTCTGGCCCAATTCTTGGTGCCTTGTGGTAAAGACTGCCCTAGCCTCCCCATCATTACGACCATCCCCAAAACCCGTTTTCAGGGGAGAACAATCATTCAACAAATTTACATCAGAACCCAATTCTGGGCACTTAGCAAGCGACTTATTTAAGTTGCTAAAAACATATCTTTTCGAGGGTTTTGGCAACGGTGGGATAATCTTGCAAATACCAAATTCACTAGCTTCCTTCTCAATTTTCGATATATAAGCAATTGGGTCTGCAAATTCAGTATGAGTCGGTCGAAACTCGGGCGCCAATGGCAACCCTTTCAGCCAATTGGGTATCTCAACATCACCCATTTTCCCCAAGATTCACATCCACAACATTATTCTCCTAAAAGATATAAGCTTTTGGTACATTGGCTTCTAATCATGTAATCAATAAAGTTACAAGACCAACCCAGTAACGAAACCCTAAAAGTGCAAGATTTGGGTAAATTGGCATGGGTTTGTAGCAATTATTCATACATAAAGCTCAGAAATTGACTAATTGAGAACCTGTACATTCAACGAGACTGGTTGATTAGCCTTCAGAAGCACTCCCAGTTCCAAGTGGTGTAATCACAGAAAGAGAGAGCTTTGTCTAGGTTTTGCGCGACAACCTTGAAGCAGCCTCAGGATAGAGTTTTGGCGAAGGACGGTCGCTAATTTGCGCGGCTGGGACACAGCGCACGAAGGAAGTCACTGTTGTTTTCTGACGGTACGACTTGGGGTTGGGTTACATTGCGCGTATGTGCGCATTTTAACATATAACGGTCTTGAATAAATCATATAGAAATGGTGGTACCAAATAGATAAGTATACCGACCCACAAAAACAAGATAACTCAAAAAAAAAGAATATAAGTTAACCTTTATTTTCTTTTAAATATATTTTTTGTCAGATATTTTCTTTTAAATATGGGATAAGTTATCACTAGAGCATCACAGATAACGTGTGCTAATAATTTATGTGTAACAATATAGGGGTATGATATGATTAATATTTTAATTGAAATTAAATGAAGGAAATCAAAATAGAAAGTGAATTGTGGAGAAAATTTAGATAAGAAGTGATTAATTAGGATGTAATTGGAATTATCCATATACTTCGGGAGTGGAGAAAGACTTGACATTTAATTGTCATTACATATATGTATGTCTCTTCATGAAGTTCATATAAGTATAACTAATCACATAAAGAGCGAGAGAGAAAAAGACCCGCGGGGGGTTTGACATTAACAATAAGACACAGTGGAGAAATTACATATTGCAAGGTTATTTCAATGTCACGATCAAAATGCATTACCATTCAAATAGAAATTAGAAAAGAACAAAAGCTACTTTCAACAAAATCAAAGATTTCATGTACTATATTTGGAAAGTGAGGGGACCAACATGAAAAAGTTTTCAATAAAATGATGATGATGATTCATTTGGTGATTGCACTTTTGTTATTTTGACATTACAAGCTAATTACGAGTCTCATTTTATTTTGTTGGGGGAATGTTGTATATAACAGTAAAGAAACTGTTGGTAAAAAAATATTACAATGTATGCTTGGTAAAGAATATTGCATCTCTATTTACAAACTACAATGGAATATTGTTCAGCTACCCTTATAATATTCACAAAATTCCAGTAGTTACATAATTTATTTAGACCAACTTAATTTGAACTTAATTAAATCAGAAACTTGCTTGATGAACAATCAAAGGTTGCGATACCGATTCCAATCCGAATTCCGGTTGCCGGAGATCTGTTTGCAATAGTTCTCACAGGCAATCTCACAGATGGGAATGCTTGCCCCTTCCTCCTTCATGCAGACTGGCATGCATGGCTTGGCGCATGCTGAGATTGCTTCACTGCCCTGCATGCTGCTACATCCAATCACAACAACTAGCACACAAATGAGAATGGCAGTTTTATTGGCCATATTATTGATCCTTTTTGGTGTTCTCTTAATTTTTTGAGGGTTTTGATTGAATTGTGTTTGAAAAAATGAAGATGAAATTAGAAATATTGATGGGGTTAGGTTTTTATAAGGGGTGAGAAGTTGGACATACTTAGGAACGAAAGATGTGTGCCTCATGTTTTAGGCGGTTTGGAGCAAAACATGGGATGAAAAATATGAGGTTGGGATTGCAATATACAATAAAAGCCATATATTTTAGTTGGTTTTTTTCCCCCAAGAAAGAGGTTAAAGTGGCTAATCATACAATTTAGTACTCTCTATGTTTAGCTTCTAGCACTCTAATTCAGTATTTTGAAGTGATTTTGTGAGCCATAACCATTGGTGAATGTGCTCCCATCAATGTGAGGTTTTTGGACTTCTCAGAACATACAAAAATTTCTCCTAATTTTGGGTTCAATCAAAGAGAGGGATGGGGATTGAAAATGGGTTGCTTTCATTATTGTTCACAAATTGAAATTGCCAAAAACACAAATCTGAAGACCAAAAAAAAAAAAGCTGCCATGTACATGGGGCAAGAGCTGAATTGTATAGAATATCAAAAGCCTGAACATAAACACATGCATGTTGCAAGGTGAATGTTAGACAAGATAACATCTTCAACAACTAATGTTGTCACTTTTCCATTTTAACAAAAGAAAAATAATCCAAACTCTGCCAACAAAGGCTAAAAAGATAATGCATGGATAATATTATCATATAACTTCAAATTTTGTCCAAAACAACCAGATTTGACCCTCTAACCTCTCTAACAGCAGAATAAGGGAACTCTCTCTCTCTCTCTCTCTCTCTCTCTGTGGGTGCAGAGTGGAGCCAAATGGGAAGATCTGTTGGCTTTTGAAATTGAATGATGTGTCATGTTGAGGTCTCATTCTTCAGTTATATATACCAATTTACCAGGAAACCTTATTTTAAATGAAATCTGTGTGCTATATAGCTCATGGGCCATGGCTCGAATTGACTTGTACCAATTGGCCACATACAATTCTCAAGAAAACTTCAAACAATACAGCAAAAAGAAAACAAATTTGCTTCTGAAGTTTATTTAACAAGTTTTTCATTGGTGTATTTATTTATGTTCCATTCAAATTTCAAGTTCCAAAAAAATTACAGACAGATTATTCCATAAACACAAACACACTGAGACTAGGTTTACTTAATGAATGGCATCATTCTTAGCTGGTACATTTGTAAATTTCTGGGAATGGTTTTTCTAATTTCTCTTTTTTTTCTTTCTATTGTACTTTTGATTCAGTCCTCTCATTTAGTTCAGAGAGATGTACATTAACAGGGGAAATATGAAAATGATGGTTAATTATGAGCTATATACTTCCATAATTAGAACAGTAATTGCAAGTGAACTATGATCTAATTTACCACCCCACCAAAAAGTAATAAGAATCCACTGCTCTCTCTCTCTCTCTCTCTCTCTCTCACACACACACACACACAAACACAATTGTGGCAAAATAATCTATATATTTTACAATATCCCTAACAGTAGCTAATCTACATTGGGAATTCTCACTTACATACTGCTATATAAAGCTAAACTTTGCTGCCATACAATCCTCAGTGCCCTCTCTTTCACTCTCTCTCTCACAGTCTAGTTGTCATGAACATCAATGAAGCCGACAGAGAGCAAGTTTCTCATCAAGCAATGCTTTCGTAGATGCAGGAAAGCCGGCGCTAGTGTCCTAAAGAGTGCAATCTGGGGTCACACTAGCAATAGATACATGTGGTTCTGCTTTGATGAGGAGGACTACATCCCAAAAGATGTCCCAAAAGGCCATTTGGTGGTGTATGTTGGTGAAGATTGCAAAAGATATGTCATCAAGGTTGCCTTGCTCAGGCACCCTTTGTTCAAGGCATTGCTTGATCATGCTGAGGAAGTGTTCCAGTTTTCCACCAACTCAAAGCTCTGCATTCCTTGCAACGAATGCATTTTCCTCAGCGTTCTTTGCTGCATCGGCGCTGAACTTGATTAGGGGCTTCATTATCATTGAGGTGCCGTGTTCCACAGGTTTCATTACACATGCTTGGACCTTGGAAGATACATAAGATATGGTAGAAAGTCAGATGCTGAATTTGTGTTGTATTTGTACATTGTGTACCTTCACAAGAATAACTATCTAAACAAAAATTCTCTATAAACCCATGATTCAAGTGCCCAAATATCTACACATTTTTACATGATTTTTAGTTCAATGATCAAATTATATGGAGGGTCAATCAGGCTATAGCTATATTCTAAATAATAAATAAAATTCAAGCTTCCTTCTGTGACTACAATATTCAGTTTTCCAAGTCATACTTAGTGCGACAACTGTGATTTGACCTCTAATTGCAAAAACTCCACCATAGCCTAATCTACTCTACGTAATGCTAAATGTGAGTAAGATCCCTAATTCTAAGTTCCTTGATGGTGAAGCAACTTTTATTAGGCCAATATTCCAACTGATCATATGCTTGTGCATGCTTCATTTCCAAATTTAGATGAGCAAAGCCTCCTTAAGTCAAAGCATTTATCTGCAATTAGAGTGCTAAAGGAGCCTAGTGCTTCCCAGGCTAATTGTAAGTTGTAACCAGAATTGGGCAGATGGAGCCATCTAACCTTGTAAATGAGTTTACGAATTGTAATTTTATCGCCGCTTTGCTTTCTTCATTTTTCAAGAGTGCTTGATTTAAGTGACTTAGTTATGTGAATCGATGATAAATGGATAATTTGATAAACTATTGCAAGGTTTACATGTAATTTCCACCATTCGTCACACTTGTACCTACGTACATATACGGTATACCCACGCAGATCGCAGACCCGACAGTATTATCTTGGGAAGCCATACAAGTAGAATGAGATCGTAGCAATCACTCTCACTCAAGGGTGTATACAACCAGTGACACCCAAGAATCTCTCCTAACTTACATTCGTAACTGAAAAAGTTCCGAGGGCATCAGCCAAGTTTGAAGAGAATGCAGTGTACTCAAATTAAACCATGAAAATAAAATTACTAAAATAAACTGCGATAACTTGTTCAGCTTTTTTGATATAAATATGGAAAATACGAACTGTAAAGAAATTGCCATCGATGCCATCTTTATGTGACAAGGATCACAAACAAAATTAACATCAAAACAAACAAACTCCCATACCAGATAAATGGGTTTAGGAGATAAACACTGCCGGCTCTGACAATTACATCAGCATGAAATCCAACTCTACCACAAATGGAACTACATGGAGCTGAACTGTTGAGAAATGGGGCCTAATGGAAATCAGGCTTTTCGGGGTATGTGCAGCCTGACCTTTGGATGACAACATTTGCGGCATAACAACCAGCTCTAACACAGTCTTCCATGGGCTTCTCTTGAACCAGCTGAGACAAGAATCCCCCAACAAATGCATCCCCTGCCACAAGAAACATCATGGGTTTTGTTAATCCGAACATGACCTCTTCTGTTCTTCATCTCTAATCCTGATTTCCCACTCAAGTGTTTCACCGGTAAACATTGATAATTGCTTATAGTTAAGGGGTAAGATATCATACCAGCTCCATTGGTATCAACCAGCTTCTCCTTAGGCAACAAGATCACAGGATACAATTTCACCTTCCCATCCTGAGCAACCACAACAGGATCTGCACCTTGTGTGATCACAGTAATCCTCTTGTGAGCACCTGATGCTTTGGGCAACTGGGAAATCTTTATAGCGATCTCCTCGACATTGTCAGTCTGATTGCAAAAGACATTAAAATTAGTGACTGGTAGAGATTAGAAGTTATGCTGTCAAATTTGAGATACCCAAGACCAAGTAGTGTTACCTCCCAGCCATGAACCCTTGAAAAGGTTCTTGCTTCTGTCTCATTCCCAAAAACGTAGTCCATGTACCTATATGAAAAGGAAATTCAGTACTCTCCATTGAGGAACATCATGAACACCAAGAAACTTATTTTCTTTACTTTTTTATTTTTATTTGAAGGGGTTGGGGGTTGAGGGCAGTAGTGACTTACGGCAGGGCTTTCTCCTGCACATCCTTGAAGAACTCACAAATGAAAGGAGCAGATAGATTCATCATGAATACCTACACATGCAAGAGAAGGCTGCTGAAGCTATTGAATTTAACAACAAAAAGAGAAAAGACTCCAACCACATTGTTCATACTCAGTCCAAGAAAAACTACATTTTTGATACCTTATTGTTTGCAGCTGCATGTTCAGCAACCAGTTGGATGGACTCAGGAGACACAGTAAGGAAAAATCCAGCAATGTAGAAATATTTTGCCTTTTCCACTGTTCAAGCATGAGTTTATGTAGAGATGAGTCTGAGAGGACAAATGACCAAAACTAATAAAAAAGACGAGGTTTGAATTAACAAAAGAGCAAGTAATACCCAGAGCCCAGTTTTCTGGTTGCTTCAAATGCTCAGATTTGTAACAATTTGCAGCTGATAAGTTAGCAACAAGGGACCTGTACAATTATTTGTAACAGGAAATTAATCCCAGCAAAGTTTTAATAAACCATAGGACTAGTTGAGGAGAAAAAGAAATAGAAAACTTTATGCAGGGGCCTTTTGTTCCAAAAATCTATGACCTATGACTGATAAAAGGATCATGATGGGAACCATGAGTAAAATCTAAATGCATGACACAGAGCAGTCATAAAAGTAAAAGAGGATCAGCATGAAGATGGCTATGAAGATCAGCATGCAACAGTTTTTTGAACAGGCAAACGATGTAAAACTGACCTCTCACCACCAACTACACAAACAGCACATGTTCCTGTTGGAGCCTTGTCATCTTCATAGTATTGTACCTGATTACAAATGTAAATAAATATTTTGTGACTCAAAATAATTTGATAGCTGAGGGATCAGTAGGGTAGGTGAAGATGTGGAGAAACTCACATTAACACCAGCAAGTTTACTATTTTTCTTCATCTCTTCTCCAAATTTGTCCTTCCCAATGGATCCAATGTAACTAGTCGCATCAGGAACTTGGAGCATCCACTGTAACAAAATAACACAGAAATTGAGATTTGTTAACAGTACAATACGATTGAATCAGATCTTAAATAAAATACAAAATTCTCTTAAAAATACATAAACACACCTGGGCAACCTTAATTGAATTTTGAGTCGCACCTAAAGAGAGCACAATAAACACATAGTACATTAGTCAACAGATTGCAAAGGATAGAAAAATAGGCATTATTATCAAGCAAGTTCGTAGACAAGATCATCAAAATGGCATCACCAAATACCAAAGAGAACAACTTATCAACTTACCTCCAGCAATATACTCTACATTGGACTTGGAAGCCATTTCATCATACCTGTGAAAAACCATCCACAAAGATTGAATAAGCAAATGCAATATTCCAGGAAGTTGCAAATGCCAGAAACCAATCATGATGTTATGTTTAAACGAACCTCTAAGAGGATCTTATAAACATAGAGCTTACAGATTAGAAAACTAACACCTTTTGCCAATAAGAAGATATGGGGTTCAAACAGGGAAAGTTAATTGGTTTTAGTTACTGACTGGAAGCTATGGAAATAAAAGACAACATTTTCTAAACCAAGGTGATTTAATAAGAAAACAAGAAAGTAAGGATGAGAACCAAAAATGAACTGAAATTACATGGGCAGGTGCTTGTCCTCAGCAAGAATGGCATTGTTCGGCTTGACGTCATATCTGTCAATAAACAAGTCAACTTAGTTCTCCATACGGCATGATGCATAGATCAAATAAAGAGAAAAAAATACAGTCAGCATATAAGCGCATTTAAATACAACATTAATCTATGATTATAGTTCCAGTGTAACAACAAATTAAGATTGAAGTAAAACTAATATGAGGCTATAACACTTGAAAGTAATTGAAGAGTTGGCCAAAGAATAAACAAAGGAAGTAATTAAAGAGGAAATAAAGAAACTTCCATTGAGGATTAAAAATTGATTTTTCATAGTCATATATACCGTGAATACAAAAAATCACACAATCAAACAAGCAAGTAACCACATTGGCCTTTTCCACTCTAACCAAGTGAGCATGAGCAAAGCTCATAAATAATAAGAAAAACCATTGAAGTTCTATTAAAAGCACACAATCCCAATCATCAGTGACAAGGAGAATTTGTTGCACTATATCTAATCAGATCAGATCCAAACCAAAACAGTCACATATATATATCAGCTACAATAACTCAACTATTGCTCATCTGGGTTGCTACCATAATGGAAAAAATGAGGTTTTGGGTTAAGCCCATAAAACAAAACAAAGAACAATAAATCCTTCAGATCTATTTTCTTTATCATAATCCTCTGTTTCTTAAAACAAAAAAGTTTCAGATCTATCTACACGAGTTTGCCCAATACAAGTTATTGACAACGGACGCAAAACCCATCAAATTAAGCAGGACGAAAATTTATAATCTTAATAACAGATCGCACATCATTAGTTTTCCTACCATTTTCTGAGCAACCATACAGTACCAGAGCATGGGAATATAAAAACGTTAAGATACCAAAATGGGGGCTTACTTTGTCAAGAATTCATCGTCAACGACAGCTGAAATGTCGAGAAGAGGATTGCCCATCCCCAGGAGAACCCGCTCGTACGCCATTTATGAAATTTGCGAGAGTTCTGAAATGTGTTTTGAGAAAGAGAGAAACAGTGGTCGAGCAGCTAAGCACAAAGCGAGTGTGGGTTTGCGAGGTATTTATACTAAGCAACGTACGTGGGGATTTGGAGAGATGTCACTCAACATCACCAACCCCCAAGCTCCTTTTGATTTTTCTTTTGATTTAATTTATTTTTTAATTAGTCACCAACCCACTATGTCACAATGTAGTGATTTTTTTCTTTCTTTTCTTTGGGGTTTTTTTAGACAATCATAAATCTATCTTAATACTTGAGCTAAAATAATTATAAAATATGTGATGTGTGTCTATAAGCCAAATTCGATATGCCAATTTTTTACTGTATTTC